GGCTTCTAGAAGCTGGAAAAGCAAAGGAACTGGATTATCCCCTAGAGCCTTCAGAAATAGACACAGCCCTGCCAACACACTTATTTTAGCCCAATGAGACCCATGTTGGACTCTAGCCTACAGATTTTAAGATAACAGATTTGTATTGTTTCAAGCCACTGAGTTCGTGGTGATTTTTTACAGCATCAATAGAAAACTAATACAATCTGGGATTGTGTTTGCAGTAACCATTCTAAAACAAACCTACGTCTCATTTCTGAACAGCGAAGCGAAAGGTTCCACTCTAAGAGAAGCAAAGGTTTGCACAAGGAGGGGCCCTCATTGGTCTCCAGGTCCCCTTGTTCCTTTCCTGATGTGTGCCAGCAAAACGTAGACATGTGAATGACAATTAATAAAGGAAATGTGATGGCCTGCCTCATAAAAAAAGTATCTATTTGTTAGAGAATTAAAGATACCACCACTCTGTTCTTATGTTAATTCTTAGAAGCTCTTTCGTTATTATGAGAACAACAATTCTACTAGAAGTCTTCATTCATACCTGTGTGCTTGTGTCACGTACATAAAATAAATTAGAAGATGGTCTTACTGTTTCCAGAAACTCTGCCTAATTCTTCATGTAATTTAGTTTTCATATAACCAAGCTTTTTTTTTTCCTTACCAAGTTTGAGAGTGGAGAAACTTCAGGTGCTGATATACTAATTAGTCTTTGTGTCAGTTACACAGAACACATATTTGTTCTCTTTAATATGTGTTCTTTGAGCCATGGATGTCTCTAATAGTGTAGCATGGTTTAACCTCTCCAAAAATCAGCATCAAAAAGAATTTCAGTGACTTAGAACAGTGCATTCACACAAACAAAAAAAGAAATGGTGAGAATGAAACAACTGAAAATTGTACTTTGTTATCTGCTTCCATATATAAGCTCCTTGAGGGCAGAGATCGGTTCTCATTGATTATCTTATCCCTAGCGCCATAATAAATCCTTGACAAATGAATGTTAAATGCAAACTTTTTTCACAAGGCACTAACAAGGAATATCTTGAACTTAGCACTGCCTTGTTTAATTTATATTCATTGCCTTCTCAATGCCATAGGGCTATTTTATAGACTACCAAACTTGAAGCCAGTCACTTGCCAAAAGGCCACTGAGAGAAACTGGAAAAATGAGAAACAGTGCTTCCAGTTCAGAGCTCCCCAGTCCTGTTTCCTGAACTATACAATTCAGCATGCCCTGAAAGAGATTCGGGCAAATTTTAAAGAGGTCAGAAATCAGGAAAAATTAACTTTAACCACGTTGAAAATATAGAAGAAGTGTTTTCTTTAAAGTAATATCACAATGAAAGACTATGCCCCACAATTTCTCTTAAAAAAGAAAAAATACTTTCTGTTATAATCATTTTGGGATTCGCTCTCTGTTTCAAACAGATACTTCATTCTCTTCAAAGATGAGGAATAGTCTTAGTCAATTGGCTAGACCTTTGATCTGTTCACTAGGGAAGACGTTATCCCAAAACTACAAGACTAGATCTGATCTTGTACTTACGTCAAAGTCATCAATACTCTGGGGGTTTGTCTCTTTTCTGTTGACCCTGTGAGATTGCTCCTGAGAGCTGAATGATAGTTGAATGGCAGTTAACTACTTATTAAACATCCCTAAGAGGGTTTTGTGATTTACTCCGAAACTTGGGTCAATCTCAAGGTTCCAAAGTGTATAGGGACATTATTTTCAAATCATTCCACTCCTTGAGTTTGAGAAGTCATTTGTGCTTGGCGTGAGGCTGTCCGGAAGTTGATGTAGTACTGGGAGGGTGGAGCAAAGGGGAAGGGAGGGTCTCATGGTAGACTACGATGCTATGCTGGGGTGAGGCTTCAGTCAGTGAGCTTCACACAAGAATCGTAACCCAAATAGAGGAAACCCTAACGTATTCTTTGTAAATTATTTGTTGCCGGGTTGGTTCTAGCAGTGATGTCCGTTCCCAGAAGTGCAACATGCACACAAAGCATTTAGTATTAATAATGAAGTACAAAGTATAATGTGAATATCTGGACAAATCACTGCTTTTCACATGGGCAAGGATAAACATTCTGGACATTGCTTAACAGTTTTCAAAAGTCTAATATTAGAAATCAGTGTCTTTTTGAAAGGTGTGGCTCCCTGCCGCACCAGTCTTCCATATGCCATCCTATTCATTTGGTTTTCTCCCTTTTTAGCCAGCTTGGCTGAACTAATCACTAGAGGTTCCTTCTCCCCAGATGCTCACTAGAAACAGTTCGATAGTTTGACATTTCTGGAAGGAATGCATGATTTTAATGCCATCAAACTACACATAATGAGGAAAAAGGAGAAGAAGGAGGAAGAAGAAGAGAGTCAGTAACATTGGCACAAGGGCTTTCTGCTGAGTCTGGGAAAGCTGGTCTGCTGGCCGGTCCTGCGTCCAGGCACCAGCCCTCAGGCTCTCAGGCTGAGGCAGTGTCCTGTGAAGACTATAATTGAAGCGACCATTGAGATCCTGGAGTCCTCAAATGTCTGATGGTGTTTCTGGTGCTGTAGCCTCTGACCCTGGTCCAAAGTTAAACCATCAATGCCCAATCAACATACTTTTCCATATAGATCTTGAAAAATGACCCAGATCTCTAAGATAGAGTTGCATTTGAGAAGTAAATCATGATTTGTCAGTAGCATACTTTAAATAGACAGCATAACTCTGAAGGCTAATCCAGGCAAAATGTGAGCCTAGCAGTACCTGAATCTCCTGACAGCATCAGCACATCCCTCCTTCGCAATCTCTGAACATTTAGGAGTCGTGTTCTACTATGTAATTTAAAAAACTACTTTCAAGACACTCCAGGATATTTATGTCACACGTTAAATTTTTTCATTAATATAGTTATGAAAGTGAGTATTTCTCTGAAAAGACTTTAGCGTGATTAGTCATGTTTCTAAACCAACCAGAACACTTCTTTGCACCCGGAAGTTGACTTAAAAAATATGAAATCATATGTAATCATTAAACAAATGTGAATCCTATAACCTTAAAAATTCAGAATTACTGACATTTTTTAAATTGCTTTTTTGATTTTTTTTTTGCCATTCAGATGTCTCATTCTGGTTCCAGATTTGGCCATTTGATAAATGTCAGTGATGCCCCCGAATTCATTCATGCGCTAGGGGAATCTCTAAAGTCAGCAACTGCCTTCTGTCCCTTGTGGATTTGTTGAAATCTCTTTTCCTATCTGTCTTTCCACAGTGAATGAATTCTACATTAAAACTTACTGGTTTCAATAAGTTTTAAACCATGTTGCTATCCAATTCATATTGTGTTTCAGACGATTTGATTAAAAACTATAAAAGAACTACTTGCAACAAAAGCTTCTCAGAGCGGAACACAAACACTCGTGAAGTGGGCATGTAGGACTTACCCCACGCTCACAGCTTTGGAGGGAAATATATACAGAAGAGGAATAAATCACAAACTGAGTCCCACCCCTAGGCCTCCTTACACGTGAGTCAAGGAGGTTTAAATGTGCAGTGGCCAGTCTTTCTACAGGCCAATCTTAGTTACGCATCCCAGCTTTCAGTGTCTCACAGGAAAGGGAGGAGGTCTTTGCTTAACGAAGATTTGGAAAGAAAACCCAGCAACTTCGTCAGTTATTAAAGTCAGCATAATAACATGTCCAAAAAACAGACTCATTCCATAAATCAATAGTCATTGGAGCCTGGCCTTTCAGTGAGGATCTCTCTTTTGATTAAAAATTAAAATTAAGGCATATTATATGCAAAATGAGGAGGTTGACTTTTTTGATATTTGAAATAATAATTTGGTAGTTCTGGGGATATTTACATGCACTTTATTATTAAATACACTCTTAAAGTTTGGATGTTTCCAATTTGGATGGCATATATTTGAAAGCAGTTTTTCTCTAAGCCAGGAAACAAATTAAACAGTGCTTATTAAAAGTGAGCTTTTATGCCTAAAACTTTAAATTTGCAAATCCACGTAGAATACAAACTGTAAACAGTCTCATGCTTTGCTGGTAACACAGGCTATCCTGGGGCACAGAAGCATGAGAGTGCTTCCATTATTGAGCATAACCTTGTGAAGAAGTTGCAGCATTAGAGATATTTTCCCTTCTCTAACACTTCTAAGGAGTAATTTAGAGCTTTTTGCCATCGGAGATGTTACAATGTTTAATGAAATAGCCTGTATAAGGTGTTGGACTAGAAGAAACTGCAACATTCAGTTTCTATATAACGTTTTTCACCACTGTGGATAACTCGTCAGATTACAGAGGGGGTGATCACTGGTTTACTAGATTATGAACTTTGTCTCTGATCTAGATAATTTGGGGTACTTTGATTTCATTATAGAAGTTCCTAGACTACTTGTGGGATAAAACAAATGCTGCGACCGTATTGAGTTTCATCAAGCTGAATTAGCAGAAAATAAAGATAAAATGCCTTTCTATTTAAGAACATGATGATGTTTTAATTGTTACAGCATTTGGCATGCCTAGTGTATACAATCCTTGACATTCGCATAATCACAAAAGAAAGTTGTTTGGGATTTTTCTTTTATTTCCTAGTTTCCCCTTTCCTCTCTAGTATTTCTCCCACCCCCATCCCAGCCCTGGCTTTTAGCTCTCCTCGCATTTCTCCATCCTTTTACAAAGAAAAACTCTATGCAGGGAAGGGATACATGTAAAAATACCTCATTTCTAAGTAGATGGGCCCAAGCTGCTTATTACCTCGCTGTGATGAGCAGACCACCACCGTTGTGACAACTGATGTAGATGCCTCCAGGGTAAACAAAGGTTTACATATTACACAAGCAATTTAACTGTTTTCTAAACATATTGCCAAGACAGTGGGAGTTGGCAGCCCACACTGTGTTTTAGGTTTTAGAGGCTTGGATTAGAAGTGACTGCTGATTATGAACCTTTTTTTTTTGTCTTCTATGAACTACAAGCAACCTAGTAACCCAGCAAAGAATTCTTCACAGCCCTTAAACTTGTCTTCCTAGCTTCCCAAGATTACATACACAAATCACTTGACAAAAGTGGTGCAAGGGTCTTGTGCATAGATAACCACGCAAGACAATTGTCTTGTTCTAACCCTTAAAGAGTTCCGCAAAGTGAAATGTTTTATAATCCTTTTTTGTGCAGTGGGCAAGGAAGAAAAGAAAAGAGTTTGGGCAAAGATTATCCAGAAGAAAGAAAGAGACTCTTTTGGGGTTCCAGTTGAAACACAATAAAGAACATAATTAACTTCACAATTCTTTGTGTTTTTCATTTGACTGCAGGGAGGAGATGAAAGAGGACTGCTAAGCCTTGCATTCCATCCCAATTACAAGAAAAATGGAAAGCTGTATGTGTCTTATACCACCAACCAAGAGCGGTGGGCTATCGGGCCTCATGACCACATTCTTAGAGTTGTGGAATACACAGTATCCAGGTATCACTAAAACGCATCGAGGCAGAAATATTTCTTAATCTTATTTTCTCATTATCTCTTCATAATTTTTTGTTTAGAAGTTACGAACAAATAGCCATAAGGTAGCAATAATTAAATCATAATCTCCCTCTTGCTTAAAATCCAGTACGTTGTCTTTAAGGAAAATTGAGAAAAATGATAGTTTGGACACTTTTCCTTAATTGTCTTTCAACTCAAGTACTACTTCTGAAACTTAGAAAATAATGTAACTCTTAGGTCATTTTTATTTGCTCCATTTCAAGTGTATGTTTCTTTATTTACATGCCAGGTATACACTTCCCTGTTTGTGTACTATTTACTTTCTAATGGATAGACCTTACATCTTTAACAATCACAGTATTGTTTCCTCCCCCCATGTAGAAAAAATCCCCATCAAGTGGATCTGAGAACTGCCAGAGTCTTTCTTGAAGTGGCAGAACTCCACAGAAAGCATCTGGGGGGACAGCTGCTTTTTGGCCCTGATGGGTTTTTGTACATCATTCTCGGTGATGGGATGATCACACTGGATGATATGGAAGAAATGGATGGATTAAGGTAAAAGAAAAAAAATACCTTCCTCTTGATGTTAAAATGTTTTAAGTGCCAGGAAAAGGGTCAAAGTCAGTGAGTTTAAGAAGTCTTTGAATTATATCACCTTGGTTAAGTATTTAACTTTTGTTATCAGTGTCTGCATTTATAAAATGCAGAGGAATTCAATAATATGCTGATATCATAGTTTTCAAAGTCATTATACCCAGATGTCCTAAAACGAGTTACTGCTGTGTGGTTTGCGCTCTGCACACAGCTATATGCACAGCCCTGAGAACAAGCAGCACCTCGTGCTCCAGGCAGCCGCTGCTGTTCAGCTGCCCTGTGCATCCAGGTGGCCTTCAACACTCTGCATAATGGACTAACATGGTCCAGTGGAGCTTCTTGGGAGACATAAAACATATGGATTGGCAAAAAATAAACAGGACAGATGCAAAAAGTAGCGCACCACTGATGCTGCAATCCTTGACCACCACCGAGCTGTGTCTTGGTGCTGTCACTTGTCTTAAGCCAAATGGCCCCGGTTCCATTTCCCACAATATGGAATTTGGAATTTGAATAACTTTGTCTTAAATGGGGGATGAGTCTTTTATCTATCGAGCAATCTCTTGTATTTAGTTTAGGTGAAATACATAACAAAAACAGAAAACACTTACATCGTCCTCCAATTTCTTAGTGATTTCACAGGTTCGGTGCTCCGGCTGGATGTGGACACAGACATGTGCAGTGTGCCGTATTCCATACCGAGAAGCAACCCGCACTTCAACAGCACCAGCCAGCCCCCGGAAGTGTTTGCCCACGGCCTCCACGATCCAGGCAGGTGAGAACACAAGCCTGTCGTCTTGCCTGCTGTAAAGCCAGACTGGGATTCCGGAACTGGGAAAAGAAGGAGAGCACCAGGCACAGAGCAGCTAAGAGTGGTGTCCAAGATTGTGCCTCTAAAATCACACCAGCTCATCATCCGAGCACTCTTTCTCCTGTTATTAGTGTGTGAAGCATTTTGCGAAGGCAGATTAGACACAGAAAAGGACAAATTCCTGGAGAAAAATTGCCTTAAAGTTTTGGAAGGTTATTATTGGTTAAATGCTGTTGGACTAGTGTAATGATTAAGACCTTAATTTTTCAAATTCAGAGAGATAATAAACCTTTTAATTTGTCTCCTTAAACCCCTCTAAATGATCATTTCCTTATATGTTAAGTGGAGGTGATTATAGCTACCTTGCAAGGATGCTGTAAGAATTAAATACAAATCTGTAAGTAAAGCAAAAAATAGAGTGTCTGACACACCTGGGAGGTTTTAAATAAATTATAATTCTTATCGCAGCTTCATTTAACATATGATGATACACTATCAATCTGTAAGGAGTTGAGCTAAATGTTTTTTCTCTTGGAAAAAATTTCAAATACTAAAGGAATTCATCTTGACAGTTTACTATAATGAACCACAAAGAAAGGAACATTAAGAAGTATGTAGAGCAAGAAATTCTGGGTACACTTAAGAAATGCTATGGCGTGCATAGCAATTCTGTGATGAAAGTTTCATCCAATCTGTGGTCTGTTATTCATACGAAGGGCTATCTGGCCACATTCATTCATTTACTAGCTTAGTTATTATTGCTATTTAATGTTTATTGAGTGTTCACTATGTGCAAGGTGGGTATTTCTCGAACTTTTATTTTTATAATCCCTCATGCCCTTCATCTCCCCTCCATCAAAGTCCAACTCTACAGTTCATTTCCTTTTTGGCATCTCAGCAGATCTTAAAATCTGTGCGACAGGGAATACTTAAGGTGGGTTCAGGATGTGGAGGAAACTGTCACATTCCATTCCTATAGCTCAGAGCTCGAAGATACCAACACAAAGCAGCACTTTGAAGTTGAGCAGCCTGAGTCACCACAATCCCACTGGAGTTTTCGTGCAGCCTTCCCGGAGCTCCTGAACCCTCAATGCAAAAATACAGGGTGAAGTGCTTTACAGACCTATCACATGGCAGGATGCCTGTGCTGTGAAGTCTTTACCTCCTCCAGCCACAGAGGGCTGAAGGAAAAGTCCACCTCCCTCCAAGACTATTTCAAGCAGAGGAAGATTTAATAAAGCAAAAAGGAACTAAAATAATTATTGGCTAAAACTAAAGCTGACTTTTATTAATCACCTTGGTGCAGAGTACTGAACTAAGTATCTTGTGCGCATTATCTCATTTCTGCCTCTCAGCAGTAACTGGCATCAAGCACCTCCCTTTTTTTTTAAGACTTCAATTTTAGAGCCATTTGAAGTTCATAGCAAAATTGAGCAGAAGGTGTGGAGATTCCCACATACCACCTGCCCCCACACGTGCAGGACCTCCCCCATTATCAACATCCCCCACTAGAGTGGTCCATTTGTTACAACTGGTGAACCTGACACATCACAGTGGCCCAAAGATCATAGTTTAGGGTTTACTCGGTGTTGTACGTTCTATGGACTTGGCCGATTGTGTAATGACATGTATCCACCGTTACAGTATCAAACAGAGAAGTTTCACTGTCACTCCTCTTTTCTTACATAAGAAACTAAAGCTCAGAAGAATCAAGTGGTTCTCAGTGGACCTAGTATTCAGCTCTAGAGCTAGACCTTATGGCCCCCAGCATCTCCACCTTTGGGAGACCTGGCCTCTTCTTCCAGATTTGCTCTTTCTTGTTAGAAACAAGTCAAACTTTTTTTTTTTGTCATAGTTTCTCCATCTTCAAAAGAAAGGCAATACAGGAAAATTTTCTCCCCCTGAATGGATTTGGTTCCACCTTAAGACACAGCGCGCTCTGTCCTGATCCCTGCCAGGCATTGTATTCTGTGAATCATTGAATTAAAGAGGACAATAAAGGGACTGTTGCCACAGAACAACTAACCCATCTTTGGCAGGTCAGGCTTACAGTTTCCCCATTATAAATGGGATCATTCAGAGCCAACAGTTTTTGTTTTGTTGTTTAAATAATTTCTGCATTTGACTCATGTCTCTTAAGCCCTAGAACCTACTCTCAGATTTTTTTATTTTTTAATAATTTTATAGCCCCAATGGTTTTTTGTTGTTGCTGGGGTTTTTTGGGTTTTGGTTTTTTTTAAGTCATTAATGTATTTTCTTGGTCTAAAACAGTGATTCTCAATGGGATGGTTTTACCCCCAGAGGACATTTGGCAATGCCCAGAAACATTTTTGGTTTTCACAACTTGGGAGGAGAGGATCATTACACTGACATCTAGTGGTTGGAGGCCGGAGATGCTGCTAAACATCCTACAATGCTCAGTACAGCACCTCCCTCACTCCCACCCAGAGAACTACCTGGCCCAAAAGTCAATAAGGACAAGGTTGAGAAACCTGAAAAAAAAAATGCAACACTGTTTTCCATATTCGTGAGAACGTCAAAAATTATATTGTTCAACTTCTTTCTTCCTCCAACCCAAACTCCACATGCCCAGTCCTTCACTGACTAAAACATACAACTAATATTGAGCCCCTTTGTGTTCCCAGGTTTGAACTAGGTAACAGAAATACACTGATAACGAAGTTGGAAGTAGTCCCTGTCCTCAAGGAGTTTACAGTCAGTGGCTTAAGTCACAGAAATATTCTGGCCCCAGATTAGGGGTGACATGAAGACACAGTCAACTTAAAAGCCCATAATGGTTGTTAGGGATGGCTTTATTTTTATCCCCTAAATCGGAGTGCACACTTTCCTTTGTTAGAGCAGCCTGAGCTTTAGAATATAGCAATCCATATAAGAAACATAAACTCACAAAATTAATGCTATAACTAATTCTATATTGTGAGTTCCAGGTGTGAGTTGATGCTGCTGATGATTCTTATACTTTACCAGTGTATCATATATGTGATATTCCTTAAGAGCAGGCTAACAAATGTTTTAAGTCAGTGTACACATTCATAATGGAGGGAGATACCAAGAGAAATTAAGAAATATTCTCCAGAGACCATTCAGCTTCAGCAGAGTAAACAAACACATCAGGATGTTTCCTTCAGTGGTTTCTAGAGGATCCAAACTAAATAGCCCATAGGATCCTTGCCAGCCCACAAAGGGTTCCTATGTCAGGAATCTTCAATCTGAGTTTGGAAGATATTCCTGGTAGGAATTCATGGGTGTCCCTCCCTTTTGTTATTCAGATGTGCTGTCGATCGACATCCCACTGATATAAACATCAATTTAACAATACTTTGTTCAGACTCCAATGGAAAGAACAGATCATCAGCCAGAATCCTACAGATAATAAAGGGGAAAGATTATGGTAAGTAGAGCATAATTTGTTGATTTGGCTTTAGTTTGGGCTTTGTTTTATTTTAGTCTATTAATTGAAGAGAAAAGGATTTCTGCAAAATGAACATTGGGAAAGCATAAAAACACTGGCCTAACAGTGGTGAGGGAGTAAATTGCTCACATTTTAAAGGTCCAATGGCTCTTACGAGCCCTAGGTGTTCCATTTGGGTAATTACCTTTCCCATGAATTGAATGGTGCTCTGTAGGTCCAACAAATTTAATGGACCTTTAAAAGTTAGCAGTTTAGATTTTGCTCATCTGAGAATCAAGATGAATACCTTCTATTTATTTAACGTATAAGAGAGGACTTGTCTTAACATTTTATACACAGAGGAAAAAACAAATGTTACAGGTAAGAAATTTCTCAATACCCAACATACTTGTCTCAGCAATTAGGAAAATTATAAGTGTTTCAAATAAGAATGTAATTTTTTAAAGGTGTTTATTTTACAGAAAACAAAGTAATAGACTTGTAAAAACATGTTATTTACCCAAATCATGGAAATGAGACATTTGGACATTATTTTTAATAACATGATTACTAGAATATTTAGAGTACACATACAAAAAATAAAGTTGGATAATCATGAAGTCCAAAAAACTGAATATTTTTCAATGTTTTAGTATTTACTCTTTTTGGAGGAAGCAATATATCAAATATTATTATGATTCAGGGAACACAGTAGATTAAGATTATTAAATTGATTGCTTCTTCTATTTACTCATTCAATACAGATATTTATTTAGCACCAGGAATGAAGCAGCTGTGTCAGTTCATGTGGTATTCAGTTATTTTACTTTATTTTTTTTTCAGGTATTCATGTATGTGTCTGTGTGCATCTTATAAAAGCCAAACCAAAGAATAATGTGGTTTGAAAAAAAAAATGTAATGAGTCACTAGCTTGATGGAATTTCGGCTATATTTGTAGATTAAACTAAATTCTACAATCACATTAATTGGAGTTCAGCTGAAATTGGCTGCAATATTGGCAGTCCTACATTTATGTATTAAAAACATATTCACAGAATCCTCTCACAATGTATACATATATAAAACCACCCCGATGTACACTTTAAATGTCTTACAGTTTCATTTGTTGATTATACCTCAATAAAGCTGAAAACAAAACAAAACCCCAAAATAACCACATTCACAGTGCTTACTACATACCAGCCACTGTAGTAAGCATTTCATAAACTTTACTCATTTTATTCACAGAACAACCCTATGTGATAAGCGCTATCATTAGCCACGTTGTACCAAACTGAGACACAGAAAAGTTAATTATCACACAACATAAAGTGGCAGCGCCTAGATTTGAACTCAGGCAGCCTGACTCCAGAGTTCATGACCTTACTCATTCAGTTATGCTGCCTCTCAGTGAGCTGATGATTTAAAACTTATCTTTTCTACTTTTTATAATATCATACTCACCATAGTCACACGAGGAGGGGAGAGAACTTTAAAATTATTGTCTTTCCACAAAAGCTTTTGCCTAAAATACTACCTATTGATAGTGTCTTATTTAACATTAGGCATGTAATAAGTAATTTTCAGATTAATTTGCAACTGCCTTTAGATCTTTTCCATTGCAATTAGCATACGTGTATTCAAGCATAGAATGACATGCTTGGAAAGATTGAGATACATGACTATACACATGTAATTCAAAAGGAATGACGGCAGTAGACTGTTAACCACCCAACTCTATAAACAAAACTATTAAAATATTTTAAATGAAGATATTACTTGACTAAGTGACAGTGGTTTTAAATATACGGCAAATGTGGTTTTAAAGACCATTTATGTACTATACTTTTATTTCCATTAGAGTGTATACTGTTAAACATTTTATATAACTTGACAGAGGTCTGGCTCAATTTATTAAATAATGCAGAGGCATTTCTACAAAAGATTCAGTATTTAAAAAATTAAGTATTGTTTTCTTAAAGTATTTTGGTTCTAAAGTAAATAAACGTGATTTCCAAAATAACTTAATTCTAATTTCATTGAAAATGTGGTGTGTCCTGGCAATTATAATAACAGCGAGCACGTATAGAGCATTTCCATTTCGTTAGGCTGGAAGTCCTTTAAATTTTATACTATTTAAGCCAAGGGAGTAATTATTTTCACTAAATATCTATAGCAAGGATTCATCTTATGCATCATGGAACACATTTCAGAGTTAAAGTGAATTATTGTAATAATTGTTGCTTGGCCTCTATTACTTTTACTTTATGAAAATATTTTTCATTTGATCTAATGCTATCTTTATTTCCTCCCAGAAAGTGAGCCATCACTTTTAGAATTCAAGCCATTCAGTAATGGTCCTTTGGTTGGTGGGTTCGTTTACCGAGGCTGCCAGTCTGAAAGACTGTATGGAAGCTACGTGTTTGGAGACCGTAATGGGTAGGTTTCCTGATACCACAATTTGATATATCAAATGGCATATCCTTTGATTAGTGTACAAACGACCATAAAATATTCAAACGATTATCTCCCCTTGGAGGTCAGGTCTGGGACACACATAAATATTATTATTTACTTTTAGTTCCACTATATATGGTGGTTTAATTAAAGAACTTCCTAAGAGATGCTTTTTAAACAGACTTGATCAAGTTCATAAAATAATTTTTTAAGAGCAGAGAAATCCTCAGATGGACTTTTCATATTATGTAGGCTCTTCCCTTCATCCTTAACATAAATTTACAGTGATAATGTTTAATTTGAACACTGTTGTTTTACATGAGTTGTATAAATATTTTAAAAAATCATCTTGGAACGCTAACGATTTTTGTTTTTGCCAGACTGTCAAGACTTTTGGCAAAAGAACTTAATTTGTCTCTATTGATAGGAATACTATAAAATTAAATTTTAGAAGTCACATTATGGATAGTTGTAAGAAACTCTGTGATGAAACCCAAATTAAGAATCTTGTTTCCCAAGTCACTGGCATTCAGGCATATGGCAGAGCTGATACGCTTGGTCGCTAAAAGGAACTAGAAAAGTGTACTGACCCCACAATCTTCCCCCTGTCCCTCTCTCTGATTAATAGCACAGCATGGAGTCTAGTCCTGGAGAGGAAGTATCATTCTCTGGATGAAGGGGAGGGCTTTTCTCATACTCAGGTACTTTTAGTGCCCCCTCCAAACAAAATATCTTTCAGTACTTTCTCCCCACATAAGAATTTCACAATATTCACACACATTATGGGCTGTATTATTTTTTCCCTGTAGAAGCCAGGTCTATGGCACAACAATTATTTATTGTGTTTTATTTTAAACATTTTTATTGTGTTTTTTAAGCAAAAGCATGTTTTCATTGTAGGTTTATGGTATGTTTTTGTTGTAGGAATTTCTTAACTCTCCAGCAAAGTCCTGTGAGCAAACAATGGCAAGAAAAACCGCTCTGTCTTGGCAACAGTGGTTCCTGTAGAGGTTACTTTTCAGGTCACATATTGGGATTTGGAGAAGACGAATTAGGTACTGTACAGACTATTTCTGTTAAATTCTGTTCCCACTCCCTTGCCCAAGAGCCTTTGTTCTTCTCTGAAGAATAAGTATAGCAATCTTCTCCATTTGTCGGAAATGTAACCCACAGCAAAGATGCCCTACTGTAGAGATTAGAGATAGTCCAGTTACGTATTCTTTTCCAATAACCTTTCTCTGGCGGTCTTTAAATCATATTTCCATTTAAAAAATATAAAGGTAACAAAGCAGGAAAATGGGAGGCAGGAACAAAAGAAAATTGTTGAGTCCTGAAGAGAGAGAAACCTTTAAATGTCTACTGATATTTGTGGTGCATCGGAGTCATTTGTTTATATTCTCTATCGGAAAACCTGTCCACTTATCTATGTCTCTTGGAATAAATAAAAAACTTGTTGCAATCTGAATCTCACCTTATCCTGTAGATTTCCTAATTTTTTATTTTTTTGCCAACTGGGGCATGAAATTTGTACAAGGTAATCAGAGTTTGTAGATCTGCTTTCCAACAGAATAGAAATTTGGGATACCATACAATATATTTATTGGTTGTTAACAAAATGTATAAGGCTCAATAAGCAAAAAGAAGTTGAAATTGGAATGTAATCAATCAAAGAGTGAAAATGCTACTAGTTTTAAATTACAGAGATAAAGGCAGGTTTTATAATGATGCTCTTTAAAGAACAATATCCAAACAAACCATGGTTACTATGCTCCTTTAGCCTCAAAGATGAATTTCCAGGGGTCAGCCCTGTGGCCGAGTGGTGAAGTTCGCACGCTCTGCTTCGGCGGCCCAGGGTTTCACCGGTTCTGATCCTGGGCACGGACGTGGCACCACTCATCAGGTCATGCTGAGGCGGCATCCCGCATGCCACAAGTAGAAGGACCCACAACTAAAAATATACAACTGTGTACTGGGGGGCTTTGGGGAGAAAAAGGAAAAATAAAATCTTTAAAAAAAAAGACGAATTTCTAGGTATTAAGAAAGAAGAGTTATGTTTCTCATCTAAATTAGAATGTTTTCTCTAAAAGTCTAGATTCGGTTTACCTGTATCAAATGGAGATTCATCAGAATTTGTTCTATGTCATTCACTTAGGTTAACAAAGGACTTAGACAAGATTACTGAAACACATAATACATATTCCAGACCCACAGGAATTTAATGATTCAAAGAAGAGAAGTCCAATCTGTTCTGTTCTTGTTCCAGCATTGAAAGCACTGTATAATTAATTTTCCCTTGATATTCTCCTACCCTACTCAAAGGAACCAGAAAGATACTCTTTCTTACTTAAATCCTCTGTAATGTAATTTAAATTTCATTGGCTAACTCCATTTTTAAAATATAAATTAGGATTAAATTGCAGCAGAGTTAGAAATGAATTTTTAGATGTTGTGACTGAATCATTTTCAGTTCCCCAGACCTTACTACAAATGGCTCACCATCAGTCATCCTATTAGCATCACCACCATTGGTTAAAATATCCAAACATCTATCTACACTTAATACTAGATTGGGAGCAGAACCAACAAATGAAGCATTCACAATCCTTACTGTCCAAAAGCTGCAATATCATGTATACTTTATAATTAAAAATACACTTTCACTGAATTACACTTTAATGTGAAACTCTTTGGCTTTAATTAAGAGCCATATAAGAAAATGAGGAGGTTTTTACATTTTTTGAAACAAAAAAGTGTTGAGCGTCTGTTTTCTCTCTGTGTTTATTCTTTAACTATAAAACCAGGAGGGTTTGTCCTAAGGGTTAAATGAGGTAAGCTATATAAAGTACTTGACAAAATAAATATTTTTTTGTTTGCATTCCTTTGCTTTTTAGGGTAAACCCCATAGCATCCCTTTCAGAAGTAAGAAAGTAGTAAGTGTGCTTCATATATAATAATAGAGTGGAACTGAGAAATATAGGATAAATCAAGGAATATTTCATGAGAACCAAATATATATTTTAAAGCCTTATAAACATATAATCATAAATACAACTTATAAGTCCATATTCACGTGAACCATTCTATACATTGAATTATATGGAAGTAGTGGTGATAAATAAGAGTGGTTCCCGGGCCAGCCCTGTGTCTGAGTGGTTAAGTTCACATGCTCCACTTCGGTGGCCTGGGGTTTCGGCAGTTCAGATCCTGGGCACCGACCTAGCTCTGCTCTTCAGGCCATGCTGGGGCAGCGTCCCACGTAGAGGAACTAGAAGAACCCGCAGCTAGGATATACAACTAAGTACTGGGGGGCTTTTGGGAGATAAAAAAAAAAAAAAAAAAAAAGAGGAAGATTGGCAATAGATGTTAGCTTAGGGCCAATCTTCAAAAAAAAAAATTTCAAAAATCAAGAGTGGTTCTCTCCTAAAAGGATTTCATCATCATGAACCAGCCTAGCATCAAGAATTAGGGAGGTAGACTTGAGGGTGAGCATCAGGGTTTCTCTCTTCCCAAATATTTATTTTAATATATTTTGTTTTTAAATACTAAAAGTTAAAAAGGAGTATCCCAATTCTATCTGGCCTCAAATTGTCAATTAACAATAACAACTCAGTAACCAAACCTTTCAATCTTGGGCAGAATAATCAAGATAAAACTTGCCCTTCAGCACTCATTCTGCAAATATTTATTGAGCACCTATTCTGTGCAAAGCTCTGTCCTGGGTTCTGGGGACACAGCAGCAGAGAGAGAGACATGAAATTTATATTCTAAAGGAGAGGACAATAAAAATAAATATTGCTTTGGTTGATTTTTGTTTTGAATATACTGTATGTCAATTGGTAATAAGTGTTTTCTAGAAAAATCTAGTTGTGAAGAGGGACAGAGATTTCTAGGGTTGGGAAAAGTGCAATTTTCAGTAGTACAGTCAGGAAATTTGCAGGAGAGGAAAAAGTCAACCCAGTGGAAATCTACTGAAAGGCAGGAGCCTGAGACAGAACCTGGGACCGATGCTGAGACAGGAAGAGCCTGGGACAGAAGCTGAGATAGGAAGCAAGTCAAGAGCCTAGGACAGGAAGAGCCTGACACAGGAGCCTGGGACAGGAGCCTTTCTCATGTGTTCAAAGCCAAGAGGCTAGTGAGGCTAGAGAGGAATGAACAAGAGGGCAGAACGTTGCAGATGACGTCAGAGCAATAAGGGGGTCATCAGAGGCCACTGTCATGACTTACGTTTGCCCGGAGAGAGATTAGAAGCCATTGGAGTGTACTGAGTGTGATCCAACTTATATGACCTAACTTGCTTTAAAAGAATCTCTGTGGCTGGTATGTAAACACAGAGGAACAAAGGTAGAAGAAGGAGATCAGTGAGGAGGCTGTTGCCATAATCCAGGTGAGAGATGAATGTCTGCTTGCGCTGGAGTAGTAGTGGATGTGGAGGGACGGCTTCAGAATCTGGATGCCCTGTGAAGGCAGGCTTGTGCAACTCTTTCATAATCTTTAGGCAAGTGATCTTCCTGAGGATATATGGAAAAAAAATATGTATACACACATACATATATATATATACATACAAATACATTTATATACGTATATACACATATACATAAATATCTGCTAGGCAATAGGAAGTAAGCCCTTGTAATACTGTGAATTAACATATTATATTTCTCTCTTCATAGGTGAAGTTTACATTCTATCAAGTAGCAAAAGTATGACCCAGACTCACAATGGAAAACTCTACAAAATCGTAGATCCCAAAAGGTGAGGTTTTTTGATATTCCTTTAAGTCAAGTAATATTCTCCTCCAAGTTATTCCGGTGCATTCAAATTGGTGAGAGACGAATTACAGTTAGCAGTCAACAAAGATGAAGACTTCTGCCCTGTCCGTATGCTAAGTGCTGTCCTGAGAGGCCCTCCAGCGCCAGTCTCTGGGGCCTAGACGTGACCACGCTGAACTTCAACAGCCTTATTGCGATCACACATTCTTGTCACCCTTGTCATCAGAGAGCAGCATTATATTTGTAAAATCAGAGTCGTCCGCTAAACGCCAGAGGACCCCGATGTGTGAGGCGGTGGCTTCAGCACTCCTGTTGGAAGCAATAAACCCTCCTTTCTTTCGAGAAAACTGGAAACATACCAGCATAGATTACAGCTGCTGGGTATGATTTTTGTTAGGGAATCAGGATAAGTTATTCTGGCAGTTCAACATCTGAGCCTCATTTCAAAACTGTCTGGAAGCTCCCAGCTCTCATGCAGGCTTCCGTGACTAAACAAATGAAAACTGAAGGTTTTCTTATTTACCTCAGCAAAAGGAGGATTTGAATGTTTTAATCCTTTAAAGAATATATTTATCCCACCCCGCTCCTTCTCACTCACCCCATCACAACTTCAACACACACACAACTTTCACCTTACCTTGAATTATAATTAGTCAGTTGTTAATTTCATGGATAAAATCGGAACTATCAAAGCTGCTAAATTTATGTACTGTCACATAGATATTAGTCATAAATTTAGAAACAACTATTGCAGGACTGAAGTACCCTCACAGGTAGGACTATTGTTGAACACCAGTAGTTGTCAGGCTGTAGCTCCACCACGCTGTGAGTTTCACATTCTTTCTATACTAACTTATCTTCATGAGCCATTTGCAAATTTAAATTCCCAAATTTCAAGTCTCTTTTAGAAGAATAAATTCTAATAATCTGAAAAGTTTGCTAAAAGCATTAATTTCATTCCATTTTAAAAACATCACTTGTAACTTGTAAATTGTGTTTGTTTTTCTGAAAAAGCCACTGACTAACAAAATGGAGATTCTTGTCCTTTTTCCATATCACAAAACACTATCTTTCCTGAGAAAAATATAGGCTGTCATTGGTCCTGCAGACCAAAAAGAGGAATAATCAATTGTGGATGGTCTCTCCGCGGTGTCACAGATACTCATCCATCACACAATGAGAGCTTTCCTTCTCTATGTAACAGTACACATTTTCTTTCACAATTAGAGAAGTACCCATATATGTCCTGTAGGAGTTCGTTACCTCCTTGATTATGAAACCAATGTCCTCTTTGTGAAAAGCAAAGTAATGAATGAAAATAATAGACATTTCGGCAAATATCGAAGTTGGCAATATTAAGGACAAATATCAAACTAATGTTAATTCATAAACTAGCAGCATTCTAATGATTCATAATGAGGTCTTAGGGATTTCACTCAGCTCTAATGCCATTCATTTCAAAGTAATCGTTGTTATTCCATTATATTCATCAAAGTTGATATGCTTTTGCCAGCTTCCTGGTAGTGTTATAATTCTCCCTCCTCCTCACAAAAGTCTTTTCCTCTTCATCTGGCTTGTTTAGTCTGTTGGTGGTGAGTTGAGGTGAATTTTACACCTTCAATCCATTATTAGTGTCTAATTACCAGGGTGGCCATAAGGGACCTTGGCTTTGTGATCTTAGGGCCTCCTCTCGTAGGGTGGTCTCAGAGTGACATACCTGAAAGGCCTGACTTCTCATTATGGTGCCTGTTTCTGGTGAGTTGTGTCATGTGTGGGGCCAGGGTTAAGATTTGTGTTTGGTTTTCAGAAGGTGGGGGGCGTAACAGAGTCCCAAAGTCACCGTCCTTGTACACAGGCGTAGGCATAAATTTCAAAATTAAACTGACTATAAGAAAACAAATGTTTTCATAAACATTTGTTGGGGGCCTCATGCTGTTTCGATTTGGATGCCAACGTTCATTCTTACAGCATTTCTCCCTAGATGATCTGAAGTTCTGAATAAGCAGACGCGTTAGTGTATGTGGACAGGATTATTTTGGAAACACAAGCTAATTACTAGCCTGGCAGCATTCAGGGTGTCTGCTTCAGAGCAAAATTGTTTTTCTAAAACTTCTGAGGGAGAATTTGAAGAGCCTCATCTTCTGAAAAAATAATATATAGACATTTCTTGTTATATCAAAAATCTAATTCAAATTAAAATCTTAGGTTATTGTATTGGGGAGGAGCCCTAGACTTGTTAGAATAATGTTTTCAGAATGACTTTCAAACATCAATTGACGTATGGCCCTAGAAGAGAATAATAACAAATTATAAAATTTTTATATTCTATATTACGTGTCATAGAAGTTACATTCTTACTCACCATACGATTTATGTTTTTCCTGCTTTTCCCTAAACACATGCACACTCACATACAAGAAAGATAAGGGAGTTTAGAAACCATATGCAATATTCTTAAGTCATTTTTGGCAAGAGCAAATGAGGTTCCAACATTGTCACCTCAGTCTGTAAGGACAGTTTGCTCTAAGGCTATATGTTACATAATCATTTATGTAAGTTTAAAATCATTTGCAGTGTGCACCCTTGTCAGAAAAGAATGGCAAGATAACTTATTATAAAAATCAAATGCCATTATTTATAAGGAAAAAAATGAAAATTTATTAAGAATATAATCAACTTTCTCTAAAGCTTAACTAGAACTCAGGAGTTATTTAAGGAAAAAAGCAGAAAAGAAATGAATTTTGCCTCCATGTTAGAACGTTGAACACACTTCAGGAATACCTTCAGAGGCGGAGCAGTTGCATCTCATGGCAGAGTGGAGTGAAGATCAAGTCAATACCAATTCCCCAACTTGCTGGGCCAACTTATTGGGTCCCAAGAAATCTGTGTTACTGGGTTCTGCATGCCCTGGTGTGGGGAGCTCCTTCAACCAGCAGTTCCAGAAAACAGATTTCAATACATTGAGCCCAAGAGCTGGGCAATAATTTTAGTTTCACTTAGTTGTGCCATCTGAGACTAGTCAAGACGAGGAGCGAGTCTGTCCGGGTAGGACAAGGAGTCAATTGGTCTTGTCTCTGAATGCTTCTTAATGTGGGACCCTGCACCTCATTTCACCGTACTGTGCCCCATTGCCCATCGATAAAGTGTGGACTTATTTCTGCGGAGCTCTGTGAAGATAATTAAGGAATATATTTAAAACGTATTAAACTCTTTAGTATTGTTGCTGTTCATTCCATGCATTCGAGAATTATTTTCAGGTGATCTCTCAACTTTTAAGGTTGTCTTAGTTCCAAACTTGGGATAAAGGTGTGCATGGAGCTTTAAAGAGCTCTTAATACCTAGTGTTCAAATGTCCAAGTCATGCATTGGATGCTTGCTGTTTATTCAGTCTTTTCAGAATCAAACAAATGCTCCTGAAGGTGGAAATTAAAGAATTCTAACAGAGTTATGAACTCTCCAAGCTTCACTTTTTTTTTAAAGATTTTACTTTTTTTCTTTTTTCTCCCCAAAGCCCCCCAGTACATAGTTGTATATTCTTCTCTGTGGGTCCTTCCAGCTGTGGCATGCGGGATGCCACCCCAGCGTGGCTCGATGAGCAGTGCCAGGTCCGTGCCCAGGATTCGAACCAATGAAACACTGGGCTGCCTGCAGCAGAGCGCGCGAACCCAACCACTCGGCCACGGGGCCAGCCCCTCCAAGCTTCATTTTTATAGAACACAATTTTTTTATGCTATTGACAGAGATTCAGTTGAACTTAAACCACGTGATCTTTTTGTGATTCTGAAACATTTCCAGGGTTATTTCTCCGGGAATTTGTAAAATAAAATTATTCTTAATCATGTTCATTTAATTACTATGTCCCAGTCTTGCTATATTTTAACATATTGCCTATCTGCTACCCAAGCAAGTCACACAGACCCTTCCCTTAGGAGGTCTATAAATTAAAAATGCAAATTCCAGGCTCGAGAGGTCATCTTACAGAAATGTTGTATCCCTGAACTCCTGTGTGACCAATATCAAAAACTGCTCCTCGTGCCTCCACCCTCCTTCTCCCTTCAGTGGCCCCACTTGCTGCTCTTTGTTTATTTATTTATTTTTAATATCTTCATCCTGCTCTTTATTATACTGGATGCTGAAGAGTGCTTTTTTTCCAAAAAAATCACTTCATAAGAGGAAATCAGCTCTGTTTAACCTTCACATATGTCTCAGGGAGCCGCAGGCAGCTCTGCCATCCCAAAGAAAGTCATGCATAATAGAGAGGCTTTAGCCCAATAAGCCAGTCTAGTCCCAATTCATCAGTCAAAGTTTTATGCAAGTGGCCCCCCTAGGTTGATAAATCCCCACAGTGCCTGTTGACCCAGCTGCCAAGTCCTCTTGCTGCAGGCGCTGTTTTCACGGCCACCCTGACAGTAATACAAACTGTTTAGCAGCTCCATTGACCTTTCAGCTATTAACAGGGACACAGGCTCCACTAGGGACCCGTTTTCAAACATGACAGAATTTCTTAACACTGGAGGTCATGAACAAGTATATGCCCTATAAAAATCCATTCAGCATGGTGGATTTGAAGTCTAAAGGACAAGGAAGCATGTTCCACATTTTTGCTATTATTATCTTTCTACATACCCAATATCTAAAAATGGATATATACTTATCAGCCAGCTTATATTTTATTCTTAATGTCCTATATTTTATGTTGTGGTGCACAGCACCTTTTTAACTAACAAATCCTTTCTAAGCTACCATATAGCATCTGAAAGGTTAAAGATATGTTACAAAGTCAAAACTTCTAATGAATGGATGAGCGTGCATATATAATATAGAGCAATGGCCTAAATATAACTGGAATTTTATTCATACCTTACCAAGATTTGTGATGCACGTATATATACACACACGCACTTAAACATACTCAGGTATTCCATACAGTGCAATGTAGAGGCATCACCTATTTCAAAACAAATAGAAAATATTATGTAATAATTTATTTCAAAAGTTTTATCTAAATGACTATGTTGTTTAAAATGCTTATATAAGGCTTCTTATGTGTATATCCTATTTCCTGGAGATGTGACATATGACCACAGCATTCAAAGGAATTTTCTGCTTTATGTTATAGTCTCTCTTAAACTATCAATTTTGAATGTTGGAATATCAGTTCCTGGAGTAATTATACAGATTGCTATGAAAACTTGATTGAATTTCCACTTATAAATGGCATTTGTTAAAACATAAAATAGAGAATATGAATAATTAAGAATATATTCTTCAAAATGAGAATCATTTGTTAAGACTCAAAAACTCTTAAAAGCTTTTCTTTTTAATTCTTATGTTTCTCCCCCTCCTGGGACAATGGTGGAAGTCTGATATTATTAGGCCTTCTAAATATCTTATACTTTTATTGTAAGGCAATGTATCATCCGATATTGCAGTACTTGAGATAAAGGTAGATTTAGTCTTGCATAAAACAGCCACATGAATGTCTAAAAGATGTTGTCTAGAGGAAAGTGTACTTTTTAAAGAAAACACTGCATCTTAGCATCATGTTTTTTGCTAATTCATTTTAGTCAAGTTAAAAAATCTGTTGCGTACTTGAGTTGTTTTTGTCAGTATTGATAAATGAATCAAAAAATGTAACATTAAAATTTGGGAATTTGTCACTCTAACAGTCTTCAAAGAGAATTTAAACTGACATTTTTGTGTTCTTTTAAAGGACAGAAACATTTCAAATTTTTACTTCCCATTTAAAGCATTTAGTGATATTTAAAATTTCTGCCTTCATATGATATAAAATTAATACACTGGTAGATTAATACGCAACTTTATAAGTGGGAAAAGGGTGTTTCTTTTTGGATGATTTCTAAAAGAAAAATCCTGTAGGCTTTAAGTCTTTTGAAACATGTTGTAACCAAAGTGTTATTTAAAATACCTATTACAGACGTTTCTTATTTAGTGTCTAACATTTTTGTCAATTATGGTTTATGAATTAAGTTATTAAGATAAAAATTGATTTTGCACATAAAATTCTGAACAGAATAGTTTCCTTCTTTATATTAGGAAGCAATGGCACTGGCTTTTTTATTGTATCTTAATTTTCCAGTTTTTATTTTTTTAATCCTATAAAAGTACAATTACACTCCAAGATTAAATCAGGAGATTTAATCACTCTACAAGTATCTTTTGCACGTCTCCTGTGTTCATGATATTTTATTATGTGCTATGGAGGGAGAATATAAATGGGAACTTAGTCCCATCCTCTAAGGAGCGTATTCTCACTTTAAATCAGGAGATTGCTCACATTATCAAAAATGTAAATAATATTTTCTAAGATAAATAACACTTTGGGACAAAAAACTTAGGCCAGAACATCGTACATTATAAATTGCTGAATTAATGGTCCAGGAGGCTATGGTTACTGAGGTGGGTAAAACTCACCAGGATTTGGCTTCCTGGTCCAGTGTGTTCTGCTGCAGTGTGATTTTCCTTAACACTAATTAGCTCAGGTATAAAAGAGAATGATGACTGCGTAACATGCAAATTATGTAGCTTTTCAAGCAAGAATAGCCAGAATTGTAAGAAAAGCAACAATCCCTCAACCCGGCTGTTGCACATGCAGAAGGAGCCTTTTCAGCTTAGTGTTAAAATGAAACATAAGTGCCTGCACTGGGTTTCCCTCCCCCAAGAGGCATTCCTCCAGCCTAGCCTGGCTCTCTGCAGGTTGCACTTCCTCCTGAGTTCAAAGCTTTCCTTGCATCGCCATTTTGTTTTTGTGTGTTTCTAATCTCCCCTGAGGCCATGTCCAGCTACTGCCAACCTACTCACAGGGTTGTGCAAACTCTCTCTCAAGGTACCAAGTCTTGTTTTTGTTAGTGCTTTAGTTACAAAGTTGCACAGATCTTGAGGAGTCTGTCCCAACCCTATTTTCCCCATAAGCCTTTTATTTTTAATATGCGATTTTGTAGAACACGAGAATTTTTAGGAGCAT